CAGGCTGAGCCCCAGGCACCCCGAGTCAATGTCGGGTCCCGGCGCGCCTGGGGGGACCCTCTGAGCGGTCTGTCGGGCTTCTCCCCAGGCAAGTCAGAGGGCAATGGCAAGATGCACATCACACTCTGCGACTTGGTCTCCACCTGGGACTCGCTGAGCCCGACCCAGAAGAAGAGCCTAAACCAGCGGTACCAGATGGGCTGCGAGTGCAAGGTGAGTGGCCAGGCTGCCCTCGAGCATGGGCTGTGCGGGGGGACCCTCTGAGCGGTCTGTCGGGCTTCTCCCCAGGCAAGTCAGAGGGCAATGGCAAGATGCACATCACACTCTGCGACTTGGTCTCCACCTGGGACTCGCTGAGCCCGACCCAGAAGAAGAGCCTAAACCAGCGGTACCAGATGGGCTGCGAGTGCAAGGTGAGTGGCCAGGCTGCCCTCGAGCATGGGCTGTGCCCTCACTTCCCATGCTGGTGGGGTCTGCAGCCCTGAGGCAGGCATGGGCTCCACGGCAAGATGCTCTTCCCTGTCCAAGGATGACACTGTACAGGGGGCACAGCACTGGACCGGGAATATGGGAAGGGTGGTCAAGCCTTCAGCTTTCTCTGGCTGGGAACTGAGGCCAGCCCTGGGACCCACACCCAGGGGTTCCCTTAGTCCCTCCTGCATCAGGGTCACATCCCCACTGTGCCCCACAGGGAAGGGGCAGACTGGCATCCCTGGTCCAGAGCTGCAGGGGTGCATGAAGCAGAGCTGGAGAGTTGTATGACCCCCAGCTGCCCCGTGCTGCTTCCTCCTTCCCCGCTCCGACATCCCCTCCTTGGGATGGTCGGTGATGGTCTCTGTTGTGTGCAGATCTCGCGCTGCGTCTCCATCCCCTGCTTTGTCTCCTCCTCGGACGAGTGCCTCTGGACAGACTGGGCGATGGAGAAGAACAACGTGGATGGGCGGCAGGCGAAGCACTATGCTTGCATCAAGAGGAGCGATGGCTCGTGCGCCTGGTACCGTGGCATGGCCCCCCCTAAGCAAGAATTTCTCGACATCGAGGACCCCTAAGCCAAACGAGCGCATTCCAGTAGCTGGTAGAAAAAACCTGCAAGATGTTAGACTGGTCCACGCTGATATCAATTCCTGGAGACAGCATGAAAATCCGCTCAGCTGGGGGGTGTTTCCGGGCTGCGGCAGCTGCCACGCATGTGCAGGGGACAGGGATGGGGACCCACTCTGTCGCAGGCACCTGGCAGCCCGTGGCCACGCTGGGCACTCCCATGCTCGTGGCAGTGCTGAGAGGGGCACGGGGGGATGCCCCTGCCAGGGCCACATCCCTGCCTGGCTACGCTCAGCCCTGGTGCCCTGGCAGCTGTGAAGGAATCGAACCCTCGTGTGTGGCGGGGGCGGCCCCCTCTC